TCCTTTGTTCTGTGGATTACTGCTCCGGTTGCAGCACGCATGGCTAGAGTCGGTCTTTCTGATTGAGGACAAGTTGAGGAAAAAAAGACACAAATCTGCAGTTTTACTTTTTGATGCAAGCTAGAATTACAGTGAGAAAACATGTGCAGTCATTGGCTGCGCAGGCCGGCCTGCCCATGGCATGAGGGAATCTTTCTCCAGTGTGCCCCGATGAGGGGCATGTAGCAGAGCAAATCCAATGGAAATTGGCCAAAAGTTGTATATACAAAAACACATAATCTGCTTTACTTTCCTGCTCGGCTCTACGTAATCGTCTTCCACAACAGCCAATTGCTTAAGTTGTACTCGTGATAATGTTTACGCGATCATTTCCTCAGCGACTCCGTATCCGTGCGATCCAGGAATCCAGTTCCAGGGTTTAAGCGCAGCCCCTCTCTCACATCTCAGCTCGGCTCGCACAGAGAGAAAGATCCTCAGCCGCGGGCCGCTCTCTCTCCGGCTGGAACGGGACTCAACAACCCCGAAGAAGACGCGCAAAGGACTGAAATAAATAAAGAGGACTGCTTTTGCTTGTTGATTTTTCTCGCGTTGCTTTTTTGCTCTTTTTTCATTAGTTGCCTTGCGAACTGCTCCGCGTCCCCCCCTCTCTATCTCCTCCAGCAGGACAGACGGACTCTTTCACCGTTCGCGCATCTCTTCATCCCTGCGCGGCGGAGCGCAGGACTGAGCGCCGGTCTGCGGGAATGTGAGCGCTCACGCTGAGAAAAAGGCTCGGATGAGCGGAGCATGAGTGCGTTGTGCGCTGAGACGCGCTGCTCCTGTTCGAAGTCCTGCTTGCAATTGCCTCAACTGATTAATTAACTTTCCGTCTGAAAACTATCCGCTCACTCACAAAAGGTAAGACGCTTTTTGTTAATGATCATAATGCGCTTATACGCAGGTAAATCATGTTGCTGTGAAGTGGGTGATTAACAAGTTACTCAAACTTTTCGTGCATAATTATTTAGGAGAAAATGATGATCAGGGTCATAGTGTGAAATAATAACGATAGAGCGAAGTTTGTCTTTTAAATATGCATTACATTTCATAACTAGTATGGAAAAGAAAGAGTAGAGTTAAGCTCCAGTTAGATGACTCTAAAAGAACAAAACTACTCAGAGTAATTAAAATGATGGAAAGGGGGACCATGGCTAATTGAGAAATGGTTAATCAAAACACAACCAGATGTGGATTGATTTGGTCGGCTGCCATTTCTCTCTTTGTCTTTTAGTCTTTCTTTCTTTCTCTCTCTCTTTGAATGGAAACTATTAGTGTGGGAATGATGGGTCTTCAAATAAATCCCGTAGATATATTTCATTCCACTGGAAATTCTTTAAAGGTGTCGGTGAAGTCTGCACACTTTAATTTATTGTCATTGCCTTTTGCTTCCTAGAACAAGCGTGTGGTGACCTACAGCAACTGTTGAACTCACTAAAGCTTGACTGGGGTTGTTAAACTGAGGTCTTGTGTCTATAATTAAAAGCAATTCCAGGCTCTTTTTTAACTCCTCAGCATGATTAATGTGAAAAGAATGGTTCAGGGTGCGCAGACAGCAGTGATCGAGTGCTAACTAGGGGACTGTGAGAACCCAGTGCAGTTGAAATGGTCTGAACCTGACTTTCTCTAAATGCAACATCGGACACTTGTGAGCAGCCGCTGTAAAATTAGATCCTTTAACCCCACATTCATAATTAATCCGCACCCAGGCCCCTGGTGCCAACAGTGAGATGAGCAGAATCCAGTCGGTGGCACTTCTTTGCCCAAACACACTCTGAACTGCTGTGAAAAGAAGATCTTGCCGGGGCAAACTTTGCATTAGTATGCGTGTTACATTGTAATTACATGGTAGTAATAATGTAATTAATGTGTTATAATTATTTGCGGCACTCATAATTACACATTATTATTGTTATGACTGTAGTAATTAAATATAATAGCATATAATATGTGCAGCTGGACACTGTAATTTGAAATGTTACCAAAACACTGAGCAAATCACAAATGCTTTCGAGTAAACACCGCTTAAGAGCCAAGAGTCAATGCGTGAGTGCGGTGTTGTTTGAAATGTGGTGCATGACGTGAGAGATGCTAAAAAAACTGCGAAACATCTCGAGTCACCTGAATCGGAGCGGTCTGGACCTAGATATGCAGTTTATATTGATGGGAGCTGTAATTTCTATTAGATTTTTTCAATTATTATTTTTTTTATTCTGGTTAATCTAAGATTTTAAAACTGTGCTTAATGGCATGCTTCCATTTTTGCATTAATAACATTGAAAAAAAAAAAAATATATATAATATAGTATTTATATATAATTAAAAATAGGCTTATATTTGATCTCATAAACCTACAAATTATTTAAAATGCCCAATATGGTTTTAAAGTGCATAATAATTTCTCCGAAATAGAACTTTTGGTGTAGATGCGGCGTTTTACCATATGGCGTGTGGTTTTTGGTCTGAATTTTTGCATGTCACCATTTGTGCTTGAAATAGATATTATCTGACCAAAAAAAAATGTTTTGAATTTGTATAAGTGTGAATGGACTCTGTTTGAAGCCGCTCCATTAGCATTTCAAAGTGGCCTGAGCTCTATTTGAGCCCTGTGCTCTATTAGCTTCAGCACAGGCCCGGAGAACAGGAGGGGTGAGAGGGGACCAGGGCTTGTAGTTCATTTCTCCTCGTCTTTGTGTTTGTGTGTGAAAACACCATCCCATCCTTTTCATTTCAAAGGAATATTTTCCTTGGCTCTGTTGCTTTCTGGCCCCCTTCCTGCATCAGAGAAATGAAAACAGCCAAACATGAGCAGGATTATGAGATCCACCAGAGAACTTGCTTAGGTATTTTCACTCAGAGCCGAAAAAAAAAAGAGGGTTCTTCTACGTTTCAAGTAATGCAGGGATGAATGGATGTCATAAACACCTACACACACACGTTCTGCTCACAAGTAGCTTATGAGATTATGAGAGTTAGTCTCATACATATAACTGATTATTCACGATTCGCTTCGTCTAAACAGTGCAGACATTGTCTCCTAAATATAATGTGAATTTTATTATTTTATTTTTATTTTTTAAAGTCAGCCTTGAAAGTCGCAGTTTTAGAGCATCGACCGAATATCGATTTGTTTTTCATTTAATTTTGTCAGCGAGATGTCCTCGACCAGTTTTTGCTCCGTATTAATGTGCTTATATAGTCTCTTCCGTTCTCATAATATTCAGCATTTTTAATTTATTGATTGATAGGTTTTTTGCGATCTGGAAAATATGGTTTCTGATTCCAATATTATCGCCATGCGGTCAATATCAGACATGTGGAGAACATTTGGCATAGTATGAGCAATAAAATGTGTCAAATATGAACCTTTTATCACTTCAAACAAAGTCAAACAGAGTCTTTTTAAATCACAGTTGAGCCCTAAATAATGAACAAGCCAAATTGTGGAATAACTTTTATTAGAGCCGTAATACACAGTATTTTGTGTGTGTGTGTGTGTGTTTTGCACAACAGTGTATAATGCCACTGACAGCCATTGTTCTCTGAACAACAAATACAACATCACGTAGCATGTCTATGGAACTATGGTTTCTGAATAGTCTTTAGAGCAGTGATTTAATACTTAAAAAAATAAATAAATAAATAAACTTGCTTGATGACTTTGACAGCAACAAGGGAACCACTTCAGCATTGACTTTCGCTCCGTAAGGCGATGCTGTTACAGGATACAGGGCCATACGCTGTGGTTATAAGCGCAAAAAAACAAAAACACATTCGGTTTTGCAAGAATTTCAAATCAGATGATTTCTTTCCCCTGTTTTTGATTCAGTTGTGCGTTTACAGAGCATCCTGCTGTGCCGATAAACGCTCGCCAATTTGCGGGGAATAAACAGCCCTGTTACACTCGGAGTTTTATGTAAAGTGCTCAACTGCCTTTGGTGGGTCAAATACCTGCATTTTACGGTGGTCTTTATTTTACGATCAGTAATCAGAGGAAGGCAGGGCGCCTTCTCTGCCATTTTGTCAAAGCGTTTGTTTCTGCTTGCGAAAGGTTTGTGTGACAGTGGGACGGCAGACTTTATACACAGGCTGCCATTTTAATCAGCTGCAGACTGTGGGCAGCACACACCCAGCCTCCAGAGTGTGTTCAGACAAGCAAGCAGTTTGATTTGTTTCTAAAGAGCTGTATCTCTCAAATAAATCATTCAAAAAAAAAATCAATCAATCAATCAATAAATCAATAAATAAATAAATGACAATTAAACTTATTTTTTAAATAATAATAAAAAAATAGAAAATGTATTTTGTTTTGTTTATAATTCTACACTGTAAAATAGAATTAGAATAGGACTATAACGTGATGAATTGACTGCATGTTTCTGATCAGTTTTAAAAATGTAAATACCGGTGTAAATAAAAAGTTAATCAAAATAATTAAAAAAGTGAATACAGTTAATGAAAGTTTTTGTTTTTCAGAAATAATTTTAACAATTATATACTTTTATAATTATACGGATAGAAACAAAGCTGTTGTAATATATATTTGTTTTACTGTGTGGACAGGAATATTTTGGTATCGTGGATTACATCCATTTAGCGTTTATCTTATGCTCCGCCGTGTTTATTTTTATTTAAATGTAAATGAAGTCCACAGCATGATTCATGTTATTTAATTTTCAAATTCAGAACTACACATATTTAGTTTGGTGTATACACAGGGTGTATGACTTATCTATCCCAGAATTGGTATTTAGAAAAAAAAAAAATTCAATTTCTCATCAGAGAGGAGACGGTAGGAACCCAGGTACAGGGTAAACAGTATCTGTGAGCAAAGAGAGAGCGAGAGAGAGAGAGAGAGAGACAGAGAGAGACGGAGAGAGAGAGACAGAGAGAGAGAGACAGAGCGAGAGACAGAGCGAGAGAGAGAGAGGGAGCGAGCGAGAGAGAGAGAGGGGTTTATTAGGCGTCTGGTGGTAGGAGAAGGGTTGTGTCGCGGCTGGTTTATAGGAGCACACTTGAAAGGGTTATTTTCAAGCAGACACACCTGTTATTTCAGAACGCTGAAGAGAGGTCGGCCTACAGTGTGATCTTTCTTTTGTAAGTTATTTACAAGAAAATGTCTTCAAATTTCGAAGATTATGGAAATGCACACTTCCAGAAGTCTTGTTTTTAATTTTATTTATTACTTACTTTCACACATTATTTATTAACACTATTAAAAAATATATATTATTATTACCACTGCTAATAATAATATTAATAATAATAATAATTATTAAATTACTATTAAACGTAATACTGTTTTACATTGTATTGTTGTGGAAAATTATAGCAGTAATAGTCATTAAAGCTATTAAATAATGCAAATGGACATTTTTGAATTATATATAATAACCAAAAATGTTAAATAATACATATTAATCTAACATTTTAGCTTTTTCAAAGTAGCCACCTTTTGTCTATATTACAGCTCAACCAGCAATGAAACAATATTGAAGGAGTTCTCATGTGTGCTGAACACGTTTTCTTTGTTCTATCTAATCCATAAAAAAATGACAAAAATACAAATAAAATAATGAAATTCATATGTACGCCCAATTTCAGTTAAATGTTGACTGGTAGTGAACATTCTTATCATAAAATGAAACAGAACAACAGTTAAGACGTTTCCTGCAGATTCCACTAATCCTTAGATAACTAATCTAATCTGGGGTCAACAGGAAGTTGTTTCCTAAAAACATTCCAAGGTCAGAGGTCAGCTTTATCTTGTGTGGTTCATGTGACAGTTTATCAGCCAATCATGAGAGTATAATCAGAAGCACTGTGTTTGAATCTCTTGACCTCCTGTTGTAGATAATGTA